TTGAAACAAAAGAATCTAAATCTCCCTGAAGGAAGTGAAGGATCAATAATCAGGATTACTGTCAACTGTGGACTTAGCACCACCTACAGGTCATGACATGCTGAATACCAACAAATACCGTAATAACTGTAGTTACCCCTCAACAGAATAAAGACAAAATATTCAAAGTACTACAACACCTAGTACCAAATACTGAGTACTCATTGACTTGACACAGTACAGATGCAGCTAGTACTAGTACTAGTACTAGTACTAGTACTCCTCACACAGCTCCAGGTACTTCAGGTACAGAAAGACGATCAGAGGTTGGACTCACGTGCGACCACCGTCCGAGTGCTTGGCGATGTTCTTCAACGTTAAGGCGGCGGTCAGACGGATGTGTTTGGTCACTGGTCCCTCCTTCTCGTCCTACAGGTAGAAAAAAAAAAAAAAAAAAAAAAAAATCAGACCATTCTTGACCCGTGAGCCTTCAGTTGAACATCATCAGGTCCAGTGTACTCACCGTGAAGTCCCTGAAGACCAGGTTTCTGGAGCCTCTGCGGAGGGCCATTAGAGCTGCACTGGGATGATTGACGATTGCTTTTGGTGCTCGAGGAGAACTTCCTGCCACTGGTGGAGTCCTGGGAAGAGAGCAGAACCAAGAGAACAGGAGGTGAGTGACTTCAGACCGAGGAACTGTTTCTGAGGTTCTTCTAATCTTCTTCTTCTTCTGAGAGAGGGGGGGGGGGGCGACGCACTGTGACGATGTCTGACTTGAACTCTGCGCCTGCTGCTCCTCTGCCTTCAGTCCAGCCAACAGAGCTTCTCTAGAACAGTGTTTGTCCTGGAGGAGAGGAAGAGGAGGTGAACTGACGCTGAGCTGTTACTGTTGACATGAACGGACGCTGAGCTGTTACTGTTGACATGGGGGGAGGGGAGGGGAGGGGAAGGGGGTCCTACCTGTAAATGTGTGATGAAGGACAGTCTCTGTCGAGGGAAAGGTTCACACCCCTCCCACAGACAGTGGCCCCCGTACACCTCCTTCCCTCCATGTTGGGTGGCTGCGTGGTAGAAGACTTTGGATGGAGTTTCAAACCAGCTGGAGGAGGAGAGGAGGAGAAAACTTCAGCTGTACTTTCACAGGAGTACTACAGTACTACAGTTAGTACTACAGTTCGTACTACAGTACGGGCCCGGCCCCAGGGTTGAGCCACTCACCGTTTACAGGACTGCCAAAGACACTTGAAGTTCAGCCCTGGTTTCCTGCTGTGTTCTGTTGGTGCTGCCTGGGTCTGGGTCTGGGTCTGGGTC